ACTCCTATTGTAACACATGGTTTCAAACATACTTAAAGTCTGAGGATGCTATATAATCATGCTTTTGGTATTTCTTAATTGAAAGATACTAGGAAAAATATTTTATAACTTCGGCAATATATTTAAATGAATTTACAATTTATAAATCATAATGGTATCTATAGAGACGTGCATATTTATATGTGAAGAGTAATACTTAGTTTATAGATGATGCATAAAGCACACATGGAGCTGTGAACCTTTTGCTCTAAATCCTATATTTTCCTAGGGATGCATGAGCCAAAAAGTTGGGAATCACTAGCCAGGTAAAAAGAATTCTGGCCTGTTAATTAGGAAACACAGACTCCAGTCCTATCCACCAACTGGCTGTTGGTTGGTGATTTTTGGCAAGTCAACCAGCATTTCAGGACCTTGATTTTCTCATGTGCGAAGTGAATAGACTAGATAACTGTTGATAGCCTTTCTAACCATAAAACGTAATAACGTATGCCTTATGAGCCCTTAAACTTATAAAAACCTTGGAAACTATGGGACCTACCAAAAGTGTACCTAGGTTTTGCCTAAAGACAAAAGGTTTATTAGGAAAGGAATCACCATGGAAAAAATGGTAACATAGTGTGACAAACTACAACTCTACTGTTTCCAAATTTAGATACCATGTTAGACTCTTTGTCCCAAACCATGTTTGAAACATTAGCAGTAAGTTATGTGAATAAATTATCTCAAACAGGGGTGCCTGGGTGGCTCAGCGGTTGAGCGTCTGCCTTAGGCTCAGTGCGTGATCCCACGGTCCTGGAATCGAGTCCAACATTGGGCTCCTCGCATGAAGCCTGTTTCTCTCTCTGCCTCTCTGTGTCTCTCATAAATAAATAAATAAAATCTTTAAAAAAAATATCTCAGAACACAGCACTATAGATATATTTCATTTGAGTTTGGGGCATATTTTTTAGACATGTAAGCTATGGGCTCAGACTCACATGTTTGTTTCAGATCAAAGGAGATACTTTAACTGCTTTAAACACTGTCATATTATTCAGAAATATCAGATACTATAATAATGATGTTATTAACTATTATTTTCCCAATGCTTCATGGCAACAAAATACCAATGATGAAAAAAATAATGATAATGATGTAGAGAACTCATTTTAGACAGAAGGACACCTACAACCTGAAAATAAAAGGTTGGAGAACCATTTACCATTCAAATGGTTCTCAAAAGAAAGCAGGGGTAGCCATCCTTATATCAGATAAACTAAAATTCACTCCGAAGACAGTAGTGAGAGACGAAGAGGGACACTATATCATACTTAAAGGATCTATCCAACAAGAGGACTTAACAATCCTCAATATATATGCCCCGAATGTGGGAGCTGCCAAATACTTAAATGAATTATTAACCAAAGTAAAGAAATACTTAGATAATAATACACTTATACTTGGTGACTTCAATCTAGCTCTCTCTACCCTTGATAGGTCTTCTAAACACAACATCTCCAAAGAAACGAGAGCTTTAAATGATACACTGGACCAGATAGATTTCACAGATATCTACAGAACTTTACATCCAAACTCAACTGAATACACATTCTTCTCAAGTGCACATGGAACTTTTTCCAGAATAGACCACATACTGGGTCACAAATCGGGTCTGAACCGATACCAAAAGATTGGGATCGTCCCCTGCATATTCTCAGACCATAACGCCTTGAAATTAGAACTCAATCACAAGAAGAAGTTTGGAAGGACCTCAAACACGTGGAGGTTAAGGACCATCCTGCTAAAAGATAAAAGGGTCAACCAGGAAATTAAGGAAGAATTAAAAAGATTCATGGAAACTAATGAGAATGAAGATACAACTGTTCAAAATCTTTGGGATGCAGCAAAAGCAGTCCTGAGGGGGAAATACATCGCAATACAAGCATCCATTCAAAAACTGGAAAGAACTCAAATACAAAAGCTAACCTTACACATAAAGGAGCTAGAGAAGAAGCAGCAAATCGACCCGACGCCCAGCAGAAGAAGAGAGTTAATTAAAATTCGAGCAGAACTCAACGAAATTGAGACCAGAAGAACTGTGGAACAGATCAATAGAACCAGGAGTTGGTTCTTTGAAAGAATTAATAAGATAGATAAACCATTAGCCAACCTTATTAAAAAGAAGAGAGAGAAGACTCAAATTAATAAAATCATGAATGAGAAAGGAGAGATCACTACCAACACCAAGGAAATACAAACGATTTTAAAAACATATTATGAACAGCTCTACGCCAATAAATTAGGCAATCTAGAAGAAATGGACGCATTCCTGGAAAGCCACAAACTACCAAAACTGGAGCAGGAAGAAATAGAAAACCTGAACAGGCCAATAACCAGGGAGGAAATTGAAGCAGTCATCAAAAACCTCCCAAGTATTAATATTATTTACTGTTTGTAAAATACGAACATAACGGAATGGCTGAGCATGCACGGCAATACAACAAACAATAAGTGTAAGCACGTGTTAAGTCACAAAATATAATAAATGCAATCGTTATGGAAGTGAGCTGATGGTAGGTTTTAAAGATCTGGGCTCCGGGACCAGAATGCCTGGGTTCAAATTCTGATCCTTTTTTACTTTTGGGTGATGATCACATGCTTGAATATTCAGTACAGAAAAAGTATTATCTCCTTGGTTCTATGAACATTTAGATTAGTAAAAGTATAATAAAGAGTGGAATTCTACTGATTAACTGCTTGTTTTCAATAATACTTTTAAACCAAATTTCATCCACCCCAAGGTATGTACAAGGCATGAAACAAATTCCGCCACTCAGGAACAGGTGAGCCACGACCAGAAACTGGAATCACATCAACCCAACACTGTGCACAAGTTCATGGTAAAGCCAGGCTAACCTAGTTTCACAATGGGCCAGGCACTGGGAAGGTGATTCAAATCTTCCAGGATATGATGGACTATCCCCCCTTGTTCTACAAGATCAAGTCACTGCTACCCCAACACCATCCTAGTGCTCTCTGTCCTGAGATGTAAACGGTTGCGTCAGCAGCTCACTAGAAACATAAATCCTACTTATCGAGACATTTGACTTTCCAACGTACTTAACAGGGGTATGTCTATGGCCAAATAAAAGTCTATCTTCAGAAATAAAGTCCTTTTGGTGTCCAAAGAGGTGGATCAAGGCACATGTATTCCACTGGTAGGTTCACTTACGTCAAATTTAAGTAACGCATCGTGTCCACCCTGTTTAAACTATACATCCAAAGTTAATCTTGGTAGGAATGTATACTTTATATTTCCTTGGTAGGAAAATAATAGGATGCTTCTCAAGTTTTTAAATATACTAAGCTTTCCACAAATTCTCACTTTTTTAAGCCTCGTTTGCTAAACTTACTAATTTTCCTGATATAAACATGAGTGTATGGAAGTGTTTTTAAATGTGAAATCACATCTAAAAGCAAGAGAATGCAATATCCTAAGCAATTGCAAACAGAGAAAGTAATAAAGAGTGAAATGCTAGGTCAATAAACACCTTGAGCTAGTATTAAATGAAGACTCTTCCAGCATGACTTCAATTCCCGAAATAATACAGTAACATCATAGCGTTACAGAAAAGCCATCCAAAGAACCTCGGCTAAAACAAATCATCTTTGTTGTCTGTTTCTGAAATTATGCATTTTAAGAATAATTCTAATTAAATTCTCCCAGCATTCGAATCTACTTTGAATCAAATTACTGTTCGAAGCACTGCATAAACTATATTAAACCTTTCGAAGTCAATATCCACTTATAGCCGAACAAACACACATAATCGCATATAGTGCTGTAACCTAATGAAATGGGAGCAAATTCCACAAGTTTTCCTTCAGCAGGTTTTTAGTTGGCAAATAGGTTCTAGATGAAGCAAGGAAATGCTTCATTTTTGTGGAAACTTCATTTGGTTTCCATCTCATCAGGGTTTCATTTTCCATAAGCAAACATAGGAAAGGTCAGCCGTGGGCACGAAGGCCAGCACACAGGCATGGGGCACTTAGGTGGCCAGCCATGCAGCCTCTGTCTCAGTGATCCAGACACTCCCTTCAGGGAGGCACAGCAGGCAACAGGAGGATCGCTGGAAAATATGGAACGTGTCTCAGTGGAGCCTTCCTGAATGCTGAGGTCTACACACACCTACACACACACACACATGCATTCATGAATGAATCGGAGCTAGGTAATGTTTTCAGGTATTTAAATTTTGCATGTAAGCTCTAACAATTTCTCATTCTTAAACAGATCCGGGCTCAATCCATATTAACGGAAATAAATTTTGCCCAAAATATAAACAATAAGGAGTTCAATAAGAAAAACACAAATGAATGTCTCTGTGAGTTACACCACAGTTCTTACTAAAAGTAAAAATGGTTAGATTTTATGATATTTAACTAGATGCTTTTCCCAAATCAGTACCGCCTACTTCACTGGCATGTTTGGATATTATTTGGGATACCACACTTAATTCAGATTCAAAATGAAATACAAGAAGTAAAAAATATGAGAGTATTCTTGGAAATTGCAATTTTCAATCTTATGACATAGCATAACATTAATCTTAGGGAACAGCTTTGTGTGTGTGTGTGTGTGTGTGTGTGTGTGTGTGTGTGTGTTTTAAGTTTGAATGACAATCTCAAAGAAAATATGTCAACAAAAGCCCTTTGAATAGGTTGTACATTTTATTTGTTCTTAAAGATATTACACCCTGTGAGACTTTTGCTATTTTAACAAGGCTCTAAAAATAGGATCTTCGACAAGCAACTAGAAGGCAATTTCACCACAACTGGGGGGAAAAAAACCTACAATGAAAACCTCTAATCCTAAAGGCTGGCTAGCATTCATCAGGCCTCATAAAATTCCAAACAACTCCAAAGAAGATGGTTACATCCTCTTCCTAAAATGCCTTTACTTTTAAACCTTTTCAGTATCAGTGATGTTTACGTCCTGTATTTTTTTATTAAACACCCACCTGTGATTTTTTGTAGCAAAGGTGACAACTCAGATTCTTCACAAAAGACCCGAGCCAATGCTTCCTTCACTTTTTCATCAGCTTCTCCCAAGTCTTTATCCACTGTGAACTCTCCACTGACAGAGTAAACATATATCAGGAGGATCAACAACTCTTCAGGGCTGTAGTCATCCTTGGTCCTCTGGTTCAAAGGCTTAATCATGGGCAGCAGCTGATTTAACACAACAGACATTGTTGACTCCCCAATGCTCTGAAATTAAAGGTGGTAATAGGAAAATAGGTCATTCTTGTACAAAGACGTGATTAATGTCCTGCACCAGTCCAAAGATAGCTTGCAAACAAGTTTGTGATGTTCACCGACTAGACTGCTTTTTATTTGTCTGTTTCTTGTCCTGGAGAGAATGCTGCAAGAAATTTGGCAGTAGGTTGACTGGTGTGATCTAGTTTATAACACAACTAATGAAGCTGTAGACACTTTTACATTCTCTTACATATTGCTGAAACAAATAAGAGCCCACTAGTTTAATAAGTGTGAAGTACTTCAGATACCAGAGGTTTTAAATTTTAAAAATGTATTTTTAAGCAATATGATTTAAAAATGACATATTTAAAGTGATACAACATAAAAACATGTCAGCATCTATATATCCAAACAAATGCTGACATTCTTTTCGAGGAATTCCCTCCAATTTCACACTATATTCTTTTTCATATTATCCATTTTGGCAAATGTCAGAATAGATTTCATTTTAAAATCAAGTTTGTTTTAATTTTAACTTATTTTTAAAACTTTTAAATTTCAATTCCAATACAGTTAACAAACAGTGTTAGTTTCAGGAGTACAAAGCAGTAATTCAACAATTTTATACATTACTCAGTGCTTATCATGAAAAATGCACTTCTTAATCTCCACCACCTATTTCACCCACATCCCCTCAGGAAACATCAGTTTGTTCTCTATAGTTAGAGTCTGGTTTTTCGGTTTTCTTCTTTTTTTTTTTTTTTCCTGTGTTTTGTTTCTTAAAGTCCACATCTGAATAGAATCATATGGTATTTGTCTTTCTCTGACTGACTTACTTTGCTTAGCATAAAAAAACTCTCTAGCTCCATCCATGTCATTGCAAATGGTAAAATTTCATTCTTTTTTATGGCTGAGTAATATTCTGTTGTATATATACATGACTTCTTTATCCATTCATCTTTTGAGGAACACTTGGGCTGCTTCCATAATTTGGCTATTGTAAATAATGCTGCAATAAATATAAGGGTGCCTATATCCTTTCAAATTAGTGCTTTTGTATTGTTTGGGTAAATATCCAATAGTGTGATTACTGGATCATAGTTTTTTTTTGTTATAACAATGAACAATCATTTTCTGCTAAACCTGGTGAACAGACTAAGGGATCAAACTGGGCAATATCACATAAGGCTCAAGATATCTTTGGGTGAATCTGAAGGTAATTTACTTTAAAACTTAAAAAGGGGGGGCTCCTGGGTGGCTCAGTGGTTGAGTGTCGGCCTTTGGCTCAGGTGGTGATCCCAGGGTCCTGGGATTGAGTCCCACATTGGGCTCCCTGCATGGAGCCTGCTTCTCCCTCTGCCTGTGTCTCTCAGGAATAAATAAATAAAATCTTTCTAAAAAACAACTTAAAAAAATGTTTCCTTTTAGTTCTTCCACTAATTTCAAAATTCCTTGCATGTGATAAGAGCACTGCATTTCTGGAGTAACTGCATAACGTCTAAGTAACTATACCATGTCTCATACAAATTCTGAGATTTTTGGTGAATAAATTCTCATTTTAAATATGTATCTTAGGGGATCCCTGGGTGGCTCAGCAGTTAAGTGCCTGCCTTCGGCCCAGGGCATGATTCTGCAGTTCCGGGATCAAGTCCCGTGTCAGGCTCCCTGCATGGAGCCTCCTTCTCTCTCTGCCTGTGTCTCTGCACCTCTCTCTCTCTCTCTCTCTCTCTCTCTCTCTGTGTGTGTGTGTGTGTCTCTCATGAGTGAATAAATAAAATCTTTAAAAATAAAAAATAAGTATGCATTTTATTTCACTTATAAGATAAAATAATCCTATAAAATAAAACTCAACTATTTATATTTATATTAAAATCAGGGGCCAAATGATCATAACTGCAACTTTCATGTCATTCATTTAGAAGGGTTCACTGAGTACCTACTATGATCCAGGTACTATACTGGGTCTAGGGATACAGCAGTGAACAAAACAAATCCCTTGCTCTCAAAGAGCTTACATTCTAGTTGGGTGAAGCAGATAATTAAAAAACTAAAGAAGCAAAATATATAATATAGTAGATAGTGATAAGGGCTATGGAGAGGCATAAAGCAGGAAACAAGGAAGATGAGACTGTAGGGTGTGGGTATGTTTATGTGTGTGAAAATACACTATTTTAAAGAGGAAAGGCGAAGTTAAGAAGGGAGTGTTGGAATTTAAAAAAAAAAAAAAGGCCTATAGAAATGCTCTTTGAATGAAGTTGATGGCAAGCAGCTGGATGTGATTCTGTATTGGGATGACTACCCCAAAACGAACTTTTCTAGTCAAGTCATTTCCACACCTGGAAAAATTTGGATATATCATCTCAAGGTTAAGGTTCACAATTATATTATTTAGTACATGAAAAACAGCTGTTACCATTTATTTCCACTAAAAGTCTTGGATGTTCACAATGCACCAAACAAAAACAAAATGATAAGTCTCTGGAATGAATAGGTACAGATGGAAAAGAACAGGAAGATTTTACTGTTACATGGTGACAAGACACGATTTACCAAGTGTAAACACACCCACTTCTCAAAGGAAATGGCTGAAACGTTTGAAGTCATCCTAGGACTGTCCTACAGCCTCAGGAGTCTCTGGAGAAAAACATTTAAGTATTCTTTGCTTTACAAGCTGCCAAGAGCAATTTAAAATAAAGGAGCTGTGTGGTTGGCCTGTTAGAAGTGAGGCCGTGGGGGCTGCATCTCTCATTTTTCCTTTTTACCCTATCACCAACATTTTGGATAACATTAAGCAGGTTCCTTCATTGCTTTATATCCCATTTCTAAAAACCAGGTATGTACATCAAGTATCCTATAGGAGCCATATGATTGATTCTCTTCCTAGACCAAAATGATTTTTTAAAAGATAGTCACAAAAAGTAAAATATGATAGAATGATCATCATAATCATTTGCAAAGATTCGTCCACTAACATCTGGCCATGTAAGCATCATATTCAAGTTGTTGATCTAATATTTTTCCTGGAGAACAAACTCCCTCATTAGTGACCCTCTAGCAGACCTCTGTCAGCTAGGTAATAGCTCTGCACATTTATAAAATTTGTAATTTTATAAAATTAATTCTAATTTATAAAATTTATAAATTTATTTATAAAATTACATTCTAATCTGCTTAAAGCATTCCCAAAAGCTAATTACTGAGTTGAATACAAAGCCAAGAATACTGATAAATCTTAAATAGGCATGAGATGTTGTGGAAATAAAGACTCCATTTCAAATGCCCAGATTCCAACCTTGTCTGTACCACTAACTTAGCTCCTTAACTTCATAGGATTCCAGTAAACTTCTCAGGATCTCCTTGTCTCTAAAATGACATGATCTGACCAGAAGATGGCCATTACCATTGGTGACTGTAGCAGTGAATCACATTTCATTGTTGGCTACACAGAAAAATATAAATGCTCAGAAAAGAAAAGTTTTACTGCAGAAACAAATGTAGATATGGAAATATCATAGGTATTTGTATGACATGGGCTGATATACATACATTTATTTCTTAGTTCTGCCACCGAGAGGATCTTGAAGTAATGACACCCTGGTAGCAATGAGCACACCCAGTAGTCAGATCTTGGTTTCTAATATCATTTGCAAATAAAAGGAATCGGGGATTCTCAGAGAAATGGCCAATTCTAGGAATGAGACAGGGGAAATATAAGAAGAAATTGGAAGATCTTCTTGTGATGGAAAGTAAGTCCTTAAAAAACAAAAGGATGGGTAATGTCAACAGGACACAGGAAACAAATGGAAGGCTTCCAGTGGGCAAAGCTGAAACAATTTGTGTAAGAAAATAAAATAGTAACGGATTATAACCCCAAGACAAACAAATGTGCTTCACCCCATACTGATATAAATAAGTGATTGAATGAATGAATGAATAAATAAATAAATGTAGGAGAAGAGATAAATGTTCCTTTCAGAAGAATTCCAAATAACTTACATAAATATTGTCCCCTAACGGAGGTAGAGTTTAATGCCCCCATTTCTTGAGTGTGAGCTGCACATAATGACTTGCTTCTAAAAAACTGTGTATGGAAAAAGGAGGGAGGAGAATTTTATCTTAGAAGATCAACATTAACATCACCAGTGATAAGTTAAATGATATCATGCATCCTTGATACGATGTGATGAGAATGGCACTTCACTTTTGTGGTATGTTTCTCCCAATCCCATATTCCTACAACAAAAATAACAGATATATCCTAATTAAGGAACATTCTACAAAATGCCTAACTAGTACTCCTTGAAACTGTCAAGTCATAAAAAATAAGGGAAGACTAAAAAAGTAACACACACCAGATGCGACTAATGACAAAATGTAATGGGATCCTGGGACAGAGGAAGAGCATGAGGGGCAGGGGAAGGGAATAGTGAAATCAGAATAAAGTCTGGAGTCTATAGTTAATAGTGAACCAATATTGGCTTCTTCATTTTGACAAATGTATGACAGTATTGTAAGATTTTAACAATAAGGTGAGAGATATACGGAACTCCCTGTACTATCTTGACAACTTTTCTATACATCTAAAAATAATCTAGACTAAAATATTTATTGGCAAGATGGGGAGGGGAGGAGAGAAGAAGCAAAGTTGAGGGAAGGTAAGATAAGAAGAGACAAATCCAGGTACTTTGGGATCTCCTTCTGTCAGACTGAAAATTCCAGGAAAGACCATTCCAGCTGATAGCATCAGAACTCCTCACAAATGGAGCCATCAGCCAATGTAAGGGACCAACTGGAAGCAATGAACTTCCCGGCAACAGCAAAGGGAGGCAGGGGGATCGTCTGGCAAGGACGAACAGGAGGGAATCCTACACACTTTGGCTTAGAAAGCCAACTAGACCCCCCTAGTACTCTCCACAAAAGCATGGTTCCAGACTGGATATATTTCCATTTTACAACACTCTCTGCTCTTAGAATGAAACCTCAATGAGAAGAAGGAAACGACCTAGATT